GGTCCTACCATCTATCTGGGTTATCTTTTCCCTAACTGCAGTCTTTAACGCGTCAAGGTTATCGTACCTTCGCTTGTAAATTTGGTTCTTTAAGTAACCCCACAAGAAGTAATCAAGTGGGTTTAGATCTGGTGATCTGGGAGGCCACTGTATTGGGCCATTTGTTTCTATCCACTGATCATTAAAAGTAGTACTTAGAAAATGATAAGTACCTCTGGAGGTGTGGGCAGGTGCGCCATCTTGCTGAAAATGCAGATGATGTCTACTTATAAGATCCAATTCGTCTAAGAAATTAGTCAGAATTTCTGACATAAATTCCACATATCTTTCACCAGTTAGGGTTCCCTCATAAAAGAACGGGCCAACAATTTTTGAACCAATTATACCGCACCAAACGTTGAAACTGAAACGGACTTGTGGGCCTCTTGGATGTACTAACAAAAGATTTTCTCTTGACCAATAATGGTGGTTTTTTCTATTAAACATTCCAGAATTTGAAAAATTTGATTCATCTGTCCATAAAAGGTAACGAAAGTTATTTACATTTTGGCGACAGAAGCTAAGATACCAATGGCAAAAAAGTCTTCTCTCTGGATCCCCTGCCAAAAGCATTTGAACTGGTCGGTACTTATACGGAATAAATTTGTATTTTTTTAAAATCCTTTGAACAGTACCATAACTGAAATTAGAGTCCTTGAGAATATCTGCTATTGAATTCTCACGATAAGCTTCAAAATATCCAATAACTGCAATTTCCGTGGCCTCGCTTATTATGAATTCTTTTTTTGCCCTTGTTTTAGCAAAAACATTTTCGTTGCCCCTAAATTTTCGATAAAGTCTCAGAGAATATCGTTCATACGGTTGAATGCGAGCGGGATATAATTCACTGTAGTATTCTCTTGCTCTCAAGGAGGATTTTCTGCACACTAAATAGCATTCTAACATATCACACTATTCTTCATGGGAGAACATTTTTCTTTAAATTAATGACACAATAAAGCTTATAAACAAGTATTTACACTAATGTTTGACATTATTTGATTTTATCATTGTTTTCCAAAGCCTTCTAGTTGCGAGTATGTCCAGTTTAACAATTTGTCGCTTATCTTAATGCTGTCAAATCGCGAACGCCATGTTGTTTTCATAGCCGTCTTAATATTATAATACTGCAAATAATTAAAAATATTTATCGTTATTTTGACTTTATTTTTGACTTTAGCGGAAAAGTCATTATGAACTTTTTTGTTTAAAATTTGATGCTTTAACAGAAAAAAATATAATATACAGGGGTTTCCATTTAAAAAAATGTTATTTTACTGAAAAAAATCAAAATAACGACTCTCAATTGTTTTTTTTATTTCTCATTTTTACCAGCGTTAAAAATGCTACTAGTTTGCTAATTTAAACAACTTTGTATTTTTACTAATAACAAAGTTACCAATGGTGGACACTTAATTTGGATAACCCTGTATAAAATGCATACGTGACATTAGTGGCTGTTCCTAGGCTGAAATTGAAAAACGATTGAAAGGTTTGGAATGTCATTTATTCCGAGTCCAAAGTAAATGTAAGTAACATGAGCTCATGCAATGTAAACTACATGGAAAGCATATTATAGGAAGTTTAATATTAAGATCGCAAGGCAGTCGGTTTTCAATATTCGCATATTGCATACCTATACGTAATGAAATATTTTTGCATCACGTGTCACAACAGGGAGGTGGTCTCTGAAAAATCTATGACGGCACAGGATATTAGAAAATATCGGTCGACCGCCACCAGCGATGAAGGTTCATCGTATTTTCCAATATAAGGTTTGCAAAATTTGATTTTCTAAAACTATAAGCATCCAGATTTCCGCTCTTCCGTATCTTCCAGTGTTTAAAACTTTTGAAATGACAGCGGCTTTAGAATTATGACATCTTGAATCTTTAAATCACTGAAACCCTCAGAGGTTCATAGTTTTAGATGCGAGGGATTTTTAAAGCTTTCAAGATACATTGAAGAGGGGTGATATTTTAGTGTTTCTTTAGTTTAAATGTGTACTATCGTAAATAGCAATTAAATAACAATGCTTTAAAACAAACTAGGCTAAAACTGCTCGTTGTTGTCTTAAACGGAAGAGCTTGAACTTTAATCTAGACAATCGGTGACCTAAAAATAATACTTCTTAACCTGAACTCTTTCAAGAGCAAGTTAAATCGGTTGAAAAAACCCTAGAGGTACATATTTTGTATTTACTTTTTCAACTTATACATGAACGTCAGTAATAAGAAAACTACTGAAAAAGTTTTTTCTTGTACCTTTGTTGTACAATTTGAAAAATTTCAGGTGGTACGAATAATCTACCAGTGTTCATCTATAGTATGTAAATTATTGTTGATTATGAAAGTGCTGAAAACATGGCTTATTTTTTTTAAAACGTAGAGGTGTCTTGCAAACAGTACACACCCAAATGGTCCGAATCTGTTTTCTTGAGTTGCTGCAGTGAGCTCAACGACGTCTGGTTTTGACATCTTAATTGCAATTGGTTCTGAGCTAAGTGATGTTCTTTTCAGCTTTTCAGTACGATTTGCCAAAAGATAATTCACTATTTGTCTTCTGTAATCCTTCATCGATAGGTCTGGCATATTCAATTCTTTATACAAAACAAAGGAATTTACAATAAGTATCAGGTAACCAAATAAGTTCGTGCGGTTTTTAGTAGAAAAACATACATTTTTATTGAGAAACAATAAGACACTATTTATTCGTCGAAGTAATATCCATCACATTCAATGACTTTTTGCCAACGTGGAACCAATTTTTGTATGCCGGTATTGCAGAAATCCCTGGATTTGGAGTAAAAAAATTGCCCGACTGCATTTATTACACCATCTCGAGTTGTGAACTGTCGGTGCCTCATACTGTTGTCAAGAGACAAAAAAAGGTGATAATCAGTGGGCGAAATGTAGGGGAAATATGGCGGGTGCGGTAACGTTTCCCAGCCGAGTTCAGACATTTTTTCTCGGGTCACTTTTGCGGTATGAGGCATGGCGTTATCCTGCAAGAATATCACTTTCTTCCGATTGATCAAAGAAGGCTGTTTCAGGATGAGTGCTGCTTGTACTCGTTGAAGCTGCTCACAATACAAGTTAGCAGTGATGGTTTTTTCCAAAAACTCATAATGGACAATTCCAGTTGCTGTCCACCAAACACAAAACAAAACCTTGTTCGGGTGCAAGGAAGGAAGCCTTGGGTGTGTGTGGTACCGAATCAGTAGGAGACATCCAATGATACGAACGCTTAGAATTCGATTACCAGATCTATTTTTCGTCGCAGGTTAATAACCGATTAAGAAATGGTTCATTAACGTTGCGTGAAATGTTTGCTGAACAAACGGTAAGACGACTTAATTTGTTATCATTTGTCAGTTCATGTGGGACCCATTTGCTTAACTTCCACGTCTTTCCTAGCTGATGAAGATGGGAACGAATAGTTTCAGGACTCACTCTGAACATTTCTGCAAGTTCTTGGAGCGTTGTACTGGAATTTGCGTCCACAATCTGTCGAAGATCCTTGTTGTTCATGATTTTTGGTCTCGCTGAGCGCGGTTCATCGCTCAAACTGAGATCTCCCGAAGAAAATTTTTTAACCACTTATGTGCTGTTTGATCACTAACGGCATCATCTCCGAATGCGGTACATATTTTTCGCGCCGCCGCCGCAGCTTTTGTACCAAGTTTGTACTCATACAGTAAACAACTTTGAATTACTGTTCTATTCGTCGCTATAAATTATTAAAACTAGGTAGATATGTAACAATTTTCAGCAACTGTTTATGTGTGTGAGAAAGAAAGATTCATATTAAAGTGACAGCAGGTAACAAATAATCGCTATCGATCAACAAAATCCATGGCAATGTGCGATATACAGCAACCGCACGAACTTATTTGGTTACATGATAACAAAATATACAATGCCACCACCTTTTTGATGTGCGATCGATTTTATTGATATAAAGATTTTGATCAAACTTATCAACAAAATTCATGTTTCAGGTTCATAACATTCCCTGAAAACTATACGCTACATACTCTATTATAATATGTTTATGACAAATATGTAACTATTTCGTGTTTTTGACTTGCTTTTTATCAATTCCTATAAGAACACTCCACTAAGGACGGTTCGCAAGAGTTAATGTAACTTTATATACATGATATCCACTGGAATTTCCCTCGTCACTGATACAACAAAGACCGAACACACTTTACAGGCAACACAAAATAATATGCCAGTTCCGTAATTCGACCATCGCGCGGTATTTTAAAATTATTTAATTAGGTCGTCTATCTTATGTACCAGTGTCCCATGACATGCACATTGATCTGGGTACATTTTCTATACCAGAACCCCTAAAAAGAGTAAAGCATTGAAACGGATCATGTACCTAACCGTGGTGAGTTCTGTCGTTCTATACCAAAAGTACGAAATTCTTGGCAGCGACTCATTGATGTTACCATGGGCAGCCGAGGTGAGCAGATGGGTGGAGAGGGATTGTCCCATGTACGTGCGAACTAATTTTTATAAAATATATAAAAGTGAAGTGGTTCATTTATATTCATTTATTTAACCAGATATTTAACAATGTAATTGATAAAACAGAAAAATTATCATAACAAATAACTGACCATATTTGGTATATATATATATTAGGGTGTCCCTTATATTGGTGAAAAAAATAGTTTTGAGATATTGAAACTTATACGCTCCAAGTTTTTTCGAAACTCTTAAACCTAGTCAAAAACAAAATTTTATTTACCTGCGGCAATATTAACCCGTGCCGAGTTTACCTTGAAAATTTCGAAAATAGCTGTTTTCAACTGTTTTGGTATGTAGCTCAATCTGGAGAATTATAATTATTTTGGGAACAATAATTAAAACAAGTCTCAAATAGTAATATTTAATTATTAAGATATATAGAAGTGATCATCGTTCAGGATAGCTTTTTTTGGGGTCTTTTTTACAGTCGGAGTACAGTTTCCTGTGTTCCTTTACACAAGTAGCAAAACTGCTTTTGCTCCTCTTCAGCAGCGATTAGACCATGGAAATCCTGTATAGTTTCACAGACCGTTCTGCCGTAGCATTGACTGCTCTTAAAGAAAAAGACTTTCGTTTTGCCGCCAGAAAGGAAGGATTAGTTCCCAGGTAGACACGGGTTTCTCCAGAAAACTTCTGTCCATTTTCAAACGAAAAAACAGAATTATGCTCCTCGCTGACACAAAATCACCCAATGATTTCCCTGCAACGATTTGTTATCAGCATACATAGTACGAAAGCAACTAAAAAAGAAACAGCTCAGCAAGTTTAAGGTACTTTCACTTACCATACAAATAATTGGAAAACTCGTTTTGTGATGGAATGTATCTCATTCCAAAGTACAGACTCTCTATTTGATGCAATGCTCTAGGAGGTTTGATTTTCAGCTTTTTCTCGTTTCGCCTCCCAAGAAACATGATAGATAGTTCAATCAGTTTCCCGATAGTCTTCGCGTACTATGGATTTCTGAAGCTAATGGTTATAGAATGATAACAATCCTTTAATTTTGTTGCTACTCAAGTTTTGTTGAATGAAGTCAAGGTTTACTTCGACTGCTGCAGGATCAATGTTTTTTCAGTTATCTTTATATTTTTAAATAATGAAATTATCAGGACTATCGCGACTTGCTCGATTTTTGATTCTAACACACTTTTCAAAACTAATTCGTAAATATGATGGCATCCAGAAAAAAGCAGCAATTCTCTTTCTAGTTTTTGCTCCAACAGTACACAAGATCTATTCAACCGCACAACATATAATTTGTACCTTATCATCATGGTTCCAGTCATACAGCGCGTTTGACACAGGTTTAGCGCGATCCTTACCCGAGGCGCTTTCCAATTTTGGTACAACAAGAAGTTATTCTTTATCTCCGAACAACTCCTTACATCCAGCCCAGGTAATAATTTGCCATCCCAAGGAACAGTAACAATTTCAGGATGTTATTCTGGAAAAAATCATATTTATGGACTCAGCTCTTTTTTCCGAATCTGTTACGCATGCGTCGAATAAAAGATTATTGATGGAAAGTCTTCACTGCTGAGCCTTAATGCCTCTAGTACAGCCTGAAGTACATAAACTGAGTCTCGAACAGTTAAATGGGATTCTATCTAAAGCTGCAACTAACTAAGCCTTTTCTTCATCTTTCTTGTAGTCGGATAACTTAAAGGTACAGATGTTGATGACTAAGCTTGTTCCAGGCTTTCACTGGAAATGGTAGGTAAAGCATCCGGTTTTGTGCGCTGTACTGTGTCCTGTATAGAGAACGATGATGATGCAGCCTTCAAGCACATTCGTTCGAGTCTTTTATTTCTTATAGTTTTTTCTGACGAGCCGTCTCTTCCTTTTCAGCTAACTTTTTGTCTATACCCATTAAGCAACCTGGACGTCTTGGCTCTCTTTGTTTTGTAAAAAGATTCTATCTTCCTTAATTTTTATTTGTTCCAAGGCATAGACTTGACCAATATCGAATAAGTTGTCCAAGTTATTTCAAAATTCTTCTTCACGCTTTCTATAAAATTATTATGAGTTGTCAAAACACAAACAAAATTTATATGAGAATCTAAAAATCAATGATTAATCAATATCGGAGTCATCACTGGACAAATCAGAGTCGTCGCTAATTAACTCGATCACAACTGGTTCAACAATAATGTCTATGTTAGTATCCAGATCCCACATTCTCTGCTCTTCCTTGATGACGTGTTGGATACATTTTGCCAGTTCTCGCTGGATACGTTGTTGATGGCATTTTGTAACAATAACTCGACATCCGTTAACTTGAAGGTTATATTGATGCTCTTCAGTTCACTTCATAGGGTGGTAAGCGATGAATAAAACGCCATGCTGGCGGGCCATTTCATCTATAGCGTACAATTGACGTGGGTTTGTTTTGCCTAAAGATATTAAGGAGTTCAAGTCTAAGCATTTGTTCCTGGTATCAATGTTTTTATCTTGAGCCAATTTATTGTGGCACTTCTTCGTCATGAACTAGTAGGGAACTTTTCTAGTCGGCGACTGAGATATGGAGCATTATCGATTTCCACGACTGAACCAGAAGGGATATACGTGATAATCGGCAATCTTTTTGGACTCAATGTCAATAATCTGTTGTCCAGAAACCCTTCATCGCTGCCAATGCGTGTTACAATAAGCCTCCGCCCTTTACCTGAAAATAAATTTTCTATAAATTCAAGCGTCTAGGAGAACAGTAAATGAAGGATGTTAGTCTTCTAATGACCTTAACTTACATGACTTTTTTGTATTTCTTTTTTTCTGATAAGAACCTAATAAAAAACACTTTTCATTCCTTCTGATATTCAAGTTACGAATCAGTTTATCTTTGTTTTGGTTGTTTTTTATGAGTAATGGTTTTCACTGTTTTATAGAGTCCTGAAAAAGTCCATAAATTATTAGACATAGGCAGCTCTGTAACAGAAAACTGTTTCTTTGGATCCCAATAAGATAATATATCTTCCTATTTTCGTATCTGTACATCCGCATTTCCGCTAAGTACTTACGTCTGCGAACAGCATATTTGGTATCTTTATCTAGAACGATTTTCTTACTTCCTCTCGTACCACCACTAGTCGTCGGATGTTTTTCTCTGTCAGTTGAAGTTTTTCTATTGATTATCGGAAAAATTGTTCTTTCAGACACTTTTGTTAAGATGCTACAAAGTAAAACAGCTTCATGAACACCTAATGTTTTGTCTCGCACACGAAGTCCATCGTAAACGTTGCGTATTAACTCTCTCTTCCCAGTAGAAAAGGTTATACACTTTTTTTTTGGTGTCAAACTTTCACTTTGCCCATCCATTATTTGTCTCGTCTATTGTCAATCACTATCTAATCGCGTTCGAACTATTCTCCTTAGGTTACACCAGTGAAATGATCCGCGTATTGTCATGTTAGCAAATAGAGCGGAGATATACACCAATCGCGATCATCGACTGCACAACACCTGACAGAGTTGTCATGTTGCTCTTATAGCCGACAATTCCATGTTCGTAACTACCAAACTGATGACTTACGAACTCCTCTCCCGTCAGTCATAGTAGAAATTTTACATTGTGCCATATTCATAGTCCTACTACTATTTGTCCATTTGAATATGCGTTTCTTAGTTCTTGCTATTTTCACATCATATAGTTTTTAAATGGACAGGTAAATTCATTTTTGAAATCGGGCAACTGCGGCTTTTCAGCAGCATAGATGACTCACTGCCAACAATGTCGTACTTTTGCTAATGTTGGACCAGCGAAAGATTGCAAGCCGAAAGAATGCGGACAAAAAATTGCGAAGTTGTCAGATGTTCTACATAAAATGCGGTCCATACATATTAACATATTTAAGATATAGAATTGTTCCGCTGAATTTGGCAATGTAGCTGGAAAACCCAGGCCGCAGGTAAACATCCGGTCGCTGATTGGTCCAAAACTCTTATCTTATCTGAAACTAGAATAACGTGCCGATGGCACGGTCATTTATAAACCTACTCCCATAGGCGTAGGCAGTTGGCAAATACTTTGAAAATATAATTTACTGTTTAGTGGTGATAATGGAATTCAAGCATGGGAAAGTTATTCACAGCCAGGCAAGGGAAATAATAGCAAACGTGATACGTGCTTGCGATGCAGAAGCGGCTAACAATACTTTCGTTTATCCACTGGTAGCTAGAAATGCAAGGGCGGCATATTATACGGGTGTTAGTGAAACGAACTATAAGTAAAATTAGAAAAGAAGATAAAGACAGGCAAAATGCAACCTCCACACAGCCTTTAGCTTCTCCCGGAAAAAAAGAGATCACGCCCTTCTGTGATCCAAAAATTGATGGAGTCGATTTTCCATTATTCGGAGAATGATAGAAAAATTTTACTGTGATTTTAAAGTGGTACCTACTTGTAGTAAACTTCTAATCAAACTGAAGGAAGAAATGGAATTTCCATTTGGTAAAGAATCGTTGAGGCTGCTTTTAAAAGCAAAAGGATTTTACTGGCGTAAATGCCACAACAAAAGGAAATTACTAATGGAAAGACCCAGTATTTTACATTGGCGATACAAGTATCTTAGGTCTATTAAAAAGTTCCGGGAAGAAGGAAGGCATATTATTTATTTGGACGAAACTTGGGTTGATAATGACCTCACTTTCAAGAAAATGCTGGCAAAGCGAAGAAAAATTATGGGTGTCCTGAGCAATATAAGTTCTACAGGTAATAAAGTTTCTTTCACCTCGATTTGCTTATTATACATTTTTCTCAATTTTGGAATATTCTTAATAAGTGCTCATTTAATTTGTCTAATTGAATACATAATCCCTTGCAAGTATTTTTTTCTCAAAAATATGTTTTTTATACATAGTGATTCAAAAAGGTGTTGGCAAACTTAAAATAACACTAAAATGAGGCTATTTATTCATTTCCAGGACGACTTATATTGTTCATGCGGGTTCGCAAGATGGTTTTGTTCCTGGAGCCTGTCTCATTTTCAAGGCTGGCTGTGCCACTGGTGATTATCACGGTCAAATGAACCAAGAAAATTTCACGAAGTGGCTTACTGAAAAACTATTTCCTAACATTCCTCCTAATAGTATTATAATAATGGATAATGCACCTTACCATTCAGCTTTGGAAGACAAGCCTCCAACTAGATCTTCTCTAAAAGAGACATCATCACGTGGTTGAGCAAAAAAGGTATAGAGCATGATCCTAATGCTAAAAAAATGGAGCTTTATGAAATAGCTTGTCTACATAGGCCACCATCCTGATGAGAAAAATTATAAGATAGATAATTTAATAAGAAGTTTCGGACACACCCCACTTCGAACGCCACCCTATATGTGTCAGTTTAATCCCATAGAGATGATTTGGGCACAAGTAAATTTTTCATTAGAAGCCATAATACAAGCGGCGAATTTACTATAAAAAAACTAGATGAAATTTCTAATAAGGCCATCGCTTCAGTAAGTGCCAGTGACTGGCAAAAGGTTATTGGACATGTTATAAAAATTGAAGATGAATATTGGGAAAAAGACAGTCTCATTCAAGAAATACAGGAAGAATAATAATCAACATAGGAGGTGAAAGTGATAGCAATGACAGTTCCTCAGACAGTGATCATGACTCTAATCAGGATTGAAACTATACTAGATTGGCTACCTTTTAGAATTTTTAGATATTCATTTATTATACTATTGGTTGTGGCTTTTAGTATCTCAGTAGAAAGTCTAATTCTATGTGTTGTTTATGGGTTATTTCATCAAGAAATTACTTTTTGTTTTCCTATATTTTTCTATTCAGTCAGATATTTTTGACTTGTTGTATTCTATTTTAGAAGAATGCATAATTTGTTTTGCTGTTCAATCATAATGCGTACATAGGAATATTACTTGTTGCCTAAAAA